GTGTATGTGTCTGTGTCTCAGTGTGTATGCATGTGTGTATGTCTGTGTGTGTGCGTGTGTGTGTATGTGTGTGCGTGTGTATGTGTGTGTGCGTGTGTATGTGTGTGTGTATGTGTGTGTATGTGTCCGTGTGTGTGTGTGTGTGTGTGTGTGTGTGTGTGTGTGTGTGTGTGTGTGTCCACTGGAACAAAAACACAAGCAAAAATATCATCCTCCCATTGACCACTGCCTCATGTAATCTGTTTGTGTATTATGTGTTTTTTGGTGGATGTATGTGTCTGTGTGTGTGTGTGTGGACGCGCGTGTGTGTATGTGTGTGCATGTTTGTGTGTATGTGTGTGTGCGTGTGTGTATGTGTGTGTGTGCGTGTGTCTTTGTACGTGTTTGTGTATGCCTGTGTGTGTATGTGTATGTATGTGTGTTTGTGTGCTCCCACAGGAACGAAGAGGCCAACGCCAACATCACCACTGACTTCATCTATCGAGTCCTGAGTGAGGAGGGAAAAGACGCATTTATCACCAGGTACATGACACAGAGAGAGAGAGAGAGAGAGAGAGAGAGAGAGAGAGAGAGAGAGAGAGAGAGAGAGAGAGAGAGAAGGGATTACAACCCTTGACTTTATAGAAAAGATTGTGTATACAGAATAGATTACTTTTAAATGTTAAAAAAAATGAATCATCTAATGTGTGGATGTTGTCTCCTTTGACTTAAAAAATCAGATTAGTTTTGTTTAAAAGAGCGATTAAATTATCACCAGATAGAAGACAGGGAGATGGGTTGTCATCCCTGACTTCACAGGATAATCTTTTGTGAAGAAAAAAATGTATTTAACCCCAGGTGCATAGAAGACGGAGTTGGCTACCCTGAATTTATCAAATAGATTACATTTGTAAAGCAATACGTTATAGAGGGTTAAAGTAGATAACACGCAGAAGGTTATGATAGAATAGGTATGTCTAACAGGACTTTATATACCAGTTCTTGGCTTGATTTTAATTGATGATTAGAATGGACTTTATTTGTAAACTAGGAATCAAGAGATTATTGTGATGGGCCATATTTGTAAAACATGACTATACAGGTGGTTAAGGTAGATTCAACAATTTGTAAAACAGAATTTTTTAGATAGTAATGATAGATGATAGATAGTTGTGAAAAAAGATAATTTGTAAAACAGGGTTTAATAGATAGTTATGGTAATGAAATCTTTTTGTAAAACAAGACTTCATTGGTAGTGACGATAGATCCCTTTTGTAAAACAGGAGTTTACTGATAATTATTAGAGATCGCATTCGAAGGGTCCAGGGGGAAAACAAGAGGTGCCAGGGCTTGTTTGTTTTTCGTGTATATGATTTGAGCTATGACGCTGGTTGGAAAGTGTTGATTGGAAAGTGTTTACACTCCTCAACTCGCCCATCTTAGAGTGTCCAGGGTTAAAACCTGATAAGTAGCCCAAATCAGTCTTGGAAAATAAGTTAAGCTCATGCACAGTGATTCAAAAAGAATAAGCCAAAATCATCAGGAGTTATTTCAAAAATTGGGGGGGGGGGGGAAGAAAAACTCTAGCTTGGACACATATGTTGTACATACCTTCATGTTTTTATTTCATGTTTTACAAGAAATCAATATGGCCACAACCGCAGCACTACCACCATCACGCCGATCTGAGAATTCCTCCTAAACGCGCCTCGGGAGGTCTCTTTCCAACGTGTTAATCGTATCTTTTATTCGATCTTTCCTGTCATCGATTTTTGTTGGAAGTGGAAGTAGAGGAACATTAACCTTGTCTTTAAATACAAGGGTCGTTCAAAAAGTTTTGCCCCCTCTCCAATAACTTCTTAACTATTCAAGATATCTTCATGAAATTTTTACACAATCGACTTTTTATATGTATACTCTCAAACCCAAAAAACAGAGTTATGCTATCATGTCACACCTTTATGCTATTGCTGTTTACATTACGGAAGCTAGGGTACATTGTCGTCGAGAAAATGGCGTCCAGCAAACCTATGAATGTGCGCTTAAAGCAAAGAGCTATTATTGTGTTCCTTACTGCAGAGGGAGCTGCACCCATCGGTATTCATAGGCAAATGAAGCGTGTCTATGGTGAAGCATGTGTAGATGTAAGTACTGTTCGAAGATGGGCAAAGGAGTTCACTGAAACCAGTCCACCAGAGACAGATTTGCTTGGTCCCCACATTTTGTTACCCGAGCTGAAACTGAACCGAAGTCAAGTTAATGATGAACTCCTGGCCCGTTATGCCAATGAAGGTGAATCTTTCTTACGCCGTATAGTCACAGGAGATGAGACTTGGGTACACCTTTATGACCCAGAGAACAAAAGACAATCGAAAGAATACAGTCACATTGGCTCACCTAGCCCCAAGAAGTTCAAAGTTGTTTCATCTGCACAGAAAGTGCTTATGACAGTGTTTTGGGACTGCGATGGTCTGATTCATATAGAATTGTGGAACAGGGTTCCACTATCAACTCTGAACGATATATTGAGACCCTGAGAAAACTTAGAGAACGGCTGTCACGAGTTCGGTCGGGAAAAAATGCAATTTTGCTCCACGACAACGCCCGTCCACATACGAGTCGACAAAGTCAAGATGCCATGATAAGTCTCAAATTTCTAGAGCCTTACCGCACCCATCATACAGTCCAGACTGTATCTTACTTTCATCCTTTTTCCTAAGTTGAAGGAGTTATGCAGATGACGATGCATGAACTTCAAGAAAATGTGCGTCGCTGGTTCAGAGGAAAACCACATGAAATTTTCGCCGACGGCATGTGACAACTTATTCGACGTTGGCGGATCTGCATCGACAAAGAAGGCGACTATGTTGAAAAGTAAAGACACTGTCTTGTAGCAGACATTCTAAGCTTTCATTCGGTGTATAATTTGTGTATGTAGCATCAGTAATAAAGAAATTATGAACTTGGAGACAAAACTTTTTGAACGACCCGTGTACCTAGAAAGAATAGCAGCAGATTCCCCCAGCAGTTTATCCAAGAAGGTATCTTTTTCCCAGCGTCGACGGTGTCATCAGTCATGAGTGTAGCAAGTGGCCACAGGCGGTACTAATTTTTTTTTAAATTGGGATATAGGGGGTCTCAACTCGTGATGGATGTTTTAAAACAAAAATAAACACTTCAATAAAAATTATTTATCCTCATGACTTCTTCCTTGATGTGTGTATCGTCTAGTGAAGGAATATATTCTCTATGGAAAATAGTTTTGGGAGTACAATATTCGATTTCTATGAACACTTTCTTTTTCCATGAGTATCTATAAACAGTATTAACAACAACCACAATAAACATAATATCAAACAGCAACAAGATAAGAACAATAACAACTTGGGGAAAGTGCTAATTGGCTCCGATCCTCTTTTACGATTGATGATTTTTTCCGTCCAGGAAGGCGGTGTTAGGCTACACCCAGGAGGGGAATGTGGCCTCACCTCACGACCGCTTCCATGGTGTGGCTGCTGGCTGTATGACTACATGCTGGATGGTACAGGCTATGGAGGAGTCTGGAGTGAAAGATGGTGAGACGAAGGGGGATTGAAAGGAAGAAGGGAGGGGGAGGAGAGGGGGATAGGTGGGAGAGAAGCAGGAAAGGTGAGGGGGAGATGAGGATGGAGATTTAAAGCAGTATGATTCCTTGCTGGATGGAGTGTGGAGTGAAAGATGGTGAGACAAAGGGAGATAGGAAGGAGGGAGGGAGGGAAGGAGGGAGGGGAATGAGAAGAGGGAGAGAGGGAGAGGGATGGAAGGGAGGAGGAAGCGAGGAAGGAAGGGAGTGAAAGGAAAGGAATGAGGTAGAGGGAGATGAGAAAGGAGAGAGAGGGGGATGATATATAATCAGGATTTGGGGGGGGGGGGTGTTACAGTTGTGTACCTACGTGCTATCGGCTATATAAGAGTGTGGTGAGACGCTAGAGAGAGACAGGAGGGAGGGGGGAATAATGGGGCAGATGAAGAGACACAGAGATGGCGAGGGAGGGAAGGAAGATAAGAGAAGGCGAGAAAGAGGATAGGAGAGAAAAATTTGGACTGGTGCGTGACGACGTGCTGGGTGATACGGGCTATGGAGGGGTGTGAAGTGAAGGATTGTAAGACAATGAGAGAGAGAGAGAGAGAGAGAGAGAGAGAGAGAGAGAGAGAGAGAATGGAGGAGGGAGAGAGCGTGAGAGAGAGACGAGAGGGAAAACGTGAAAGGGTAGGGGGAGAGTGAGTTGAACGAGTGTGTTCCTATTTTATGGATAAAAAAGGCTATGGAGAAGTGCGGAGAGAAGGATGATGAGAGAGAGAGAGACAGAGAGAGAGAGACAGACAGACAGACAGACAGACAGACAGACAGACAGACAG